ATATGTTTTAACCAGGACCGGATTTAAGTTGGGCTCAGGGGGACCCGGGCCTCAACAAAATATGTTTTTTTTGCATCTAAGTATAAAACACAATATAACATTTGCAAAATAGATTTAAACCACAACTTGAATAAAAATGTTCAGTCAATGATATTGTCATATATTTATAAATAATGTTATTATTAATATTTAATAACTAATAATATATTTATATATTATAATCGCATAAAAATTAGTGTCGAGCTTACAAATATAAATTTAAATAAATATACTACCATTATTGTTTCATCACAACAAATGATTGTTTCGTTGTAAATCGATTTAGCCGACCATTTATACTTCACGTATATGTATTTATCTATACTCAAGGCGTTATTTATAAATTAAAAATTATGTTAACAAAACTACAAAAACAATTTTAAGGAGTTTTATAGGCAATTTAATAAACATACTGAAATATATTGAGACCCTGATCCGCCCGTGAGATATTTAACTTATTAAATTGATTGTAACAATTTTACTTAATAATTGATTTCGATTTTTATAAAACTCCATTCAAAAAATAATGCATAGTTTTCAATAGTCTGATAATAACTTAACTTAAAATATAAAAATATGTTATTAATAAATCATATTAGAAAAATAGAGGTTTTTGAAATTCATTAGTAAAATGTTTGAATCAATAAACCATAAATTATTTATGAAATAATAAACTAATTTATTCGTAAGGATAGTTATATGGCTCATTGTATAAGGATAGATTTCAAATTAATATTAAAAATAAATCTAGAGAATAAGTATTTTTTTATTACTTATTTGGTATTTCACTTGAACACTTATTACTAAAAAAATTAAAATATTTTTAATTATAAATATATATATATATATATATATATATATATATATTATCGTTAATGATGTAAATTAGTTAATAACGTAAATGCCTAGCCAATATTATAAATTCCTAACATTAGTAGTCGATATTGTCAATGTCTAGGCATTAACAGACAATATAGGCAAGGTTGTAAAATTCAAATATTTTGTAAACACATTTAGAACTATGACTAGGAACTTGCCTTAATGTCTAATACTGATAGGCAATGTTGATAATTATGTTTAACGAAATATTTAAAATAAGTCAGTAATTTATAAATACAAGATAAACTATACATAATTATTTATTTTCGAAATTTGTTGTACTGTGACACTTTGAATTGCATAAAACATTACTTTTTTTACGAGCATATCAATTAGTTTTGCATCCTGCTTTACAAATACATCTAGTATAGCCTTGTGATCCCGCGATTCCGTATCCAGCAGCCTCAAGAACGGTAATTTATTTTACTCTGGCAGTCGCGATTGTCTTTTCATAGTTCAATATATTTTCAGGACACGGAACCAGTTGTGATCTAGTGAACCTATATTTTAGCATACCATACTCCGTACCTACATAGTAATTTATTTTAACAATTCATTTTTATTGTACTGACATAATTTTTACATATCAGCTTCGTGTGCAACAACGACCGCCAAAAGATTAAGGAGTGAGCCACGTGCTCTATCCACGTCGGGATAGATACTCTTACAGTAGTTCCTAATTGAAGTTCTGTCAACTTAGCATTAGAATACTTCATCATTTTTTGTGCCTGCCTTTGAATGGATACTAGATACACGTTATCGCTATCTTTTACTTAATAGGTACCTAATGTACGACCATCGACATATTATAGCTGATAAGTACGTACTGACGCAAGAACATTTTTAATCCAACCAACAAATAAATGATTTTATATTTTTATCATTTATGCCTTAAAAAGCCCGGAGTTATCGTCATTACCTAGAAAATATTTCTAATGCATCATTGACTGATAATAACAGACATTAACGATATTTCCTAGTCAATATCGTTTACTACCTAATTTGATCGGAAATATGGTTATTGACGACTAGTCATTAACATTAATTCCTTAATTTACATCATTGACGGTAACATAATATGTATATATATTATATATGTTACCGGCAATATGGATAATCCGGTATTTTGCAAAATGCCTAGGCATTATATAAACTGCCAAAAATCACTCGGCAATATACATAATACGAGCTTTTCTTAGGTACATGTCAGTGGCGTATACAAGGGGGGTGTTTGGTAGACATGACACCCCCCTTGAGTCGTATCATATATTACATTATTATAGGAATATAGGTAAATCGATAATACAATATGAAATATAAAATGATGCACAATACTAATTATATATATACAGGTTAACATTATCGCGATTGCGATAATACGTGACGAAAATTATTCGTTTACGTTTTCGTGCAACACAAAATGTTTAATAATAATAGGTATTGTAGCATCGAATACTGATATTCGAATAGTCAAATATTCGAATAATTTATGGTAAAGCTATCCAAATTCGTATATACATTACATCTCTATTACAGACATTATGTATACATATTAATTAATTAAAATAAAAGTTTTAGTTTGTACGTATTATATATAATATTTAATAATTATAATTAACACCCCCTTCAGAAAATCCTAGCTACGCCACTGGTACATGTATTATGTATAATGCCAAACGTGAAGTAGACAATATGATGAAAATAAACAAAATTGGGCATCGCCTACTACCAACGACTTTACTTATAAGTTATCATAAATGTGCGTGCACGATTTAACGCAATAAAGATTAATATTTTTTTACTACTATATTAATAATGATGAGGTACAATATTGAACGTACTAATAATTTTATTACAATATCGTCATTTTCGTGTCTCGTATGGTGTTCAACTATGGATACGATTTATATGAAGTCAAATTTTAATAACAAACTACAAAATATTTTTAAAAATTTGGCCATTATTATTAGTTTTTATCCGATGAGGAGTATAATGAGTTGATAAAAATTAAATTCACAAGAGTTGGGCAAGGATTTTTAAAATGTAAAACTACTTCAATAGTTGTACTTGAATTTGTATAGCTTGAATTACTGTGCATTGTACTGCTATATATAGTTATTATATATATATTCAATATGCATTTATTTCTATTTTTACTTTTTTTTTTAATTATTTACAATACTCTGTATACTAAATAATATATTATGCATATTACCAATTAAATTTCTTATTTTAATTTTTTTAGGATTGAATATATTGTGCTTTCAGTATATAATACATGCTTGTAATTTAAGCACTTAATAATGATCTACTAATAAGTATCGTTGATGGTAAATCAACAAATAACAAAATAAATGTTAATTGCAACTAAGATATCTCTAAACTGTTAAATAATAACCATAAACTCAAAAAGTATAAAATGTTATTTACTATAAAAATATAAAATACTATTCAATATTTTAACAAATGTTGATAAGCTATAATACTGAGAAGCTGAAAGGTAAATTTTACAGAAGTATAATGAAACCAACATGGTCACCCGAAAGGGAGGGGGGACAAGACGGGGCATTTGCCCCCCTAGAAAAATTAATCGAACGGTTAATAACAAGGTTTGCAATCGAACAACTGCTAAGACTTCAGTTTTTATTTGATAACAATTAAAATGTTTACAATTCTGACATATTTTATTGTTTGCTAAGAATACATTTTTTTTAATATACTTTTTGGTGTTCGATTTAATTATGCCCTCCCCCTTGATAAATTTCCTGTGGTCGCCCATGGAGTGTTGGACGATTAATAGGAGAATAGAAAAGTGGACGAGTGTTGCGGAACTGAAAATGCTTAGAATCTAAACCTTAGATGAATGAGTGGAATGACAAGAGAAGATTGAATAAGGAATGAATATGTGAGAGGTAGAATTAGTGTAGTGTCTATAGTGGACAAGATGAGTGAAAATAGACTTAGATGGTTTGGGCATGTAATGAGACCAAAGCAAACAAATGCAGTAAGAGTTATGCAAATGAAAGTGGAAGGGAAAAAAGAAAGAAAAAAACCAAGAAAGAGATTGTTGGATACGATTGTGAATAATATGAGGGCTACTGGTGTGTGCATAGATGTAAAAATTCAAGACGAGTGGAGGTTTAGGACAAAGGAGACAGATCCCAAATAATAAAAAATAAAATATAATATAACATCTAAAAAATTTTCCAGTCTGGGAATACATTGTAAACTCAAAATCATACCTTCCATGACATATGAAATCATGTACAACAAATTTCATATAGGTAATGCATTAAGTACAGATTATAAAACGGCATGATATAATAAATTAATTATGAAATCAACATTTGTCCATTTTTTTAGACATTAATGATAATTAATAACTCATTAGATTTATAATTTATAATGATACTTTGATAATTTATTATTAATTTAAATTAGATTAATCTTTCAAAATTTAAATCTCAATACAATTATAACATATTTACTAAAATAAATAACATAGTATCTATAACATAAAATATAAAAGTCATAAATAATAAAAAAATATTTATATATAACTATATTTATATATTTTTTATTGTAAATAACATAAATAGTTATACATAGGCATTGAATTATTTTCGTAATGTTCATTCTCTTAAGGGTATTTTTATTTAATTTGTTATTTATGTATTATTTTAAACTTTAATTTAATAGAATTAATGGTTAATTTTTAAATTACTTGTCTCTCAGTTGTATCATTGTATTCATACTTCATAAATTATTATCCTAAATATGTTTAAAAAATATTTAAGTACAGTAGAAACCCTTTGAGACCAAAGTGAAGTGTATCAATTAACCAATTATTTCTAATAAGCGATTGATGTGATGTGTATTATGAAAAAAAAAAAAAATGAAAAATGCCCGAAAAATGTATGTATTGTGAGACGAAAAACATTTAAATGAGTTGTGTCATCACGTAAACTAATTTTTGGAAGCACGTCATATGATTTTAATAACTCGTACTTCTATTTAGAACTTAAATCTTGGCGTTTAGACATTTTTAGATTTAGATTTTTAGAATAACGAAACATCAATAATGAAACACTAATCATCTTTACTTATGCACGCCGAAGCTGAACTAACAATACGTACAGGAAAGAGCATTATTTTTATACATCGCATAAGACGTACTGCACTTAAGATAAAATATAGTCAAAATATAAACGTAATGACAACAAAGATAAGATTAAATTACATTGGTTATTGCATGGATAAACGGTGTATATGTCAATTGATCTTCGTCAAATTGTTTCAAATAAGCGATGTAATGTTTCAATAATCCGATTTATTTTCAATGTTCTACTATACGGTTGGTCCATCCCTCTACATTTTCTTTCAATAATGTGATTGTATCAATTATCTCTGTTTCTAATACGTGGCTTCTACTGTATATATAAATAATTGAAAAATATATTTTAAGGTCATTTATATTATATTTAACAATAATAATTAAGTACATAAAAATAAAGAATAAAATTATTACAAATGTTTAAAAAATTAGAAATTCAAGTACACAAATAAGCTTCAAGTTATGAATAATTGAGTGCATAATAAGTTTTAATTAAGATCATTACTGTTTGAGAATACTCTATTTAGAATTCCTTTTTTTCTCTATCTCTTGTTTTTTTTCTTCAATAATTGTGTTCAATTTGATTGCCTCTTCTTCATTCTCAACTATTCGTTGAACCATTTTATTCATCTCATCAATCAAAGCAGTTCTCATATTGTATACAGAGACTTTTGAACACTGTTCATTCCTATATTTAAAAACCAAAATATATAAGACTTATTAAAGACAAAAAAAAAAGAAAAAAAAAAAACAACATAGCTAAATTACTAAATTTTTATTTAATTATTATTTTACCATTTTATATTAATGTTTAGATGTTAACAAGGTTTAAAACAAAGTTATTATTACTGTATTATATGATACTTGTTATTTTGTATAATAAAATAATAAATATTAATTTAATTAATAAATCACATGAATAATCACAAGTATAAAAATAATATTTACTGATGGTACCTATATAATTATTCTAAATTATATACTTATAAACTGTAATAATTATTTAACTGTGACTAACATTTAATCATTAGACACTCATACTAGATAGTGGTAATATAATATTTATATTTTCCTATAAAATCTTGGTTATTAGATTTGAGTAAATTAAATTTAAATTAAAAGATAAATAAAAAAAATACACACTCTAAACTTGAATAGTAAAATTTATAACCGTCTTAGTTATTATTTTGATTGCCAAAAATATTAAGTACATTTAAATGTCTTCAACGAGAAAATCAGTTATTATATAATACTGTCATTTCAAATTTAAATTCTAAGACATTAAAATGTTATTACAGAGTTTATGCATAAGCGGAGAAGATTAGCAATGTTAGTTTCTAAAACTAATTTTATAGACTAAATTTTATTTCACAATTAAATACATATTGGAGGTATTTGATGGTAAAAACAAAATTTTTGATGTTAATGTATAAATATTTATACACTTTAACATAGGTATACATTGGAAAATATTTGAATATTGACAGTAAGGGTATTGAGACAATTGTTAAAAAAATTTGTTGATAAATTAAAAAACTTAATTATTAACTATCAAATATTACAGTAATGTCTTTTAAATAATAGCAAATTAAAAGAAAAAAAAATAACTGTCAACTAAATTTTTTATTTAGTGAGAATAGATTTGAAACTTTCAATTACATATATCTATAATGATTGAGTATAGTATTTTACGAGTCAAGTATAAATTATAAAGAATTATTTGTAAGTAATCAGAAATAATAACTAATTTAATGTTAAATTTTTTTCATAATTGTATAAAAATAAATATTACAATCCATAAAATTATTTATTTCACTATATATATAATTTATTATAAAGATTCAAACATTTCAAATTCATTAAATAATATTGTTAAATTTTTATATATTTTATTTACTATACAATTGTTCAAATTAAAAATTATCATAATTATCTGACTTTACTAGGATAATATAATTTACGATATTATTTTATAATATAGTTTTACTATATTAACTTTCAAAAATTTTTATAGAAAGGATAACTTAACAAATGCTGTCTGTATTTTTTGAAAAACAATTTAGAAAATGTGTAAAAAAAAATGTTTAAAAATAATAGTTTCAAAATTGGTCAACATAATGGAACGTCTTCAAAACAACAGTACATAGTGAATATATTAACGTACATTAATACTATTTCACAACTTACCCCGTTCCAAATACTCTATTTATGGTATCTGTATATGCTTTACAATTATCTATTAAATTAATGTTTGTTTTGTATCCAAGATTACCATCTTCAATAAATGGTTTTGTACTCAAGTTTACAATATCAACTTTGACTGGGTTTAAACATCTCCTAAAGAAATCAAATATTCAAGTTAAAATATTTACTAACTTAGTATAATTAACTTGATAAGATATATAAGTATTAACCCTGAATCACATCTGTAAAATATATGATTGAATTTATGATCCATAGAACCTGCATAATTATGGTTGAATATGCAAAACAGAAATTTGTTCGAAGATATGCTCATCTTGTCAAAAACACTGCTAAGCTGGGCATGGAAACGAATATCGGCAATGCTGGGTATCAACACTGCATTTCTACGGAATCTATACCATCCAATAATAGATTTCTGAAGTCATAAAAGAGTTCACACTTAAATTAATATCAATTATAATTTCACTATATCAAAATATTTTTCTTACCTCATAATTTTCTGGGCATTTTTGTAAGAAAAACTTTAATTTTTTGTAATCTATTTGCAATGGGTTTGAACATAATACTTCATAAAAATCTGGCAAAGGATAAGAAGCATGAACACCTAAAAAACAAAAACAAAAATTATATACAAAACGCATACCGGTATTCAGTATTCATATTGAACACTGTCAATTACATATTGTCTCTTCAGTGATAGTGTTATTCAATGATTCATCCGTTATCACATTTGATATTTTAATTTTTTTTTCGCCAATTAGGAATCCAATCTTAAAATAAAAATATAACAGTTATTTAAATATAAAGAGTATTAATATTTGTATTAATTTGTACAACATATGTGTATATGCTTTATAATACATATATATTATGAAAACTTATGATATAGAACATCTTTAAGTGTACAAAAAAACATTTAAATACTGGACATTATTTTTACTAATTATTTCAGTAATAATTATGGGGTTATTTTATTCACAATAATTTGATATTGCTATAAAGTTTATTCATACATATTTTATTACATATTGAATTGAATTTAAAATATGATTTTTATTTCTGTTTCAGACTTAGGTATACAACAATGAGTTTGAGCATCATCAGTGACAGTGTAAAATAAAAAATACAATCAAACATTTACAGCTTTATAGTACATATAATGAGCCGAACACATTACTAATGTATTATATGATTAAAAATAGTATGCTTACTACGTCATAATTGAATTGGTTTTATACCAAGCAATTGAGGCATGGGACAGAAATAAATATACAATCGTAAGCAAACTATAAAAATAAAACAGTCTTAAGATCTAGATGTCGGATAAAAAATAATACATCAATAAGAGTGTGTACGGTTTACCGTACACGCAGTACCTATGCAGGACTGTTGTTGGTTTTTCGATGGCACGTGAGGGCAAAAACAAAATACGTGTGAAAGAACGAGCTGGAACAGCACAGTCAAAAGCCTTGAATGCAATGCAGGATGAAACAACTCTGCGGCACACTAACCTGATTGCACTGCTCTTTCAAACAGTTGTACTCGGTGACGGCCAACGTCGGCGTGGTGACGACGAACCGCAGATCGTAGTACTCCCGCGACATGGTTCCGAGCACAACGTCGAAGACTACGAATCGACCGGAGACGACGTTTGTCTACGGGCGCGACACTCCGGGCATCGCGAACGGTTCACTGGTGGGTTGAAAAGCTGTCCGGCGCATACACCGTTCTTTGCACTCGTTCACTGTACGATTCTGTCGGATGGATGTTCGTGTAAGGGCGCGCGGAAAGCCCGGAAAAACGTCGACCGATCGTTCTGGATTGGTGGGAAGGAGCGGAGCGCGGACTGGATAACTGGTCAGCGCGTTATCGGCGTACCGCCTCCTCCGTGTTATCAGAGCACCGGGGCCGACAGCGGAGGCATAACGTGCGAGAACGTATCTTATAGCTTCCCGCTCGTCCCGTCCGATCCATACGAAACGTCGCCGACTGGACTCAGCGCGGTTGGAAAATCGTACGTGGAAATCGGTTTGCGATCAATGATTTTTCCCCTCAACCGCGCAGTTATAACAGTTACATTCAGCTGTCGTCGACACCCAGTGTTGATGGCCTAGTCCCGTAAATATTCTCAGAAATAGCTATAGTTCCTAAAAAGTGTTCGCTATTTTAAATCTATACCAGGGGCTGGAACCAAACCCAAAAGAACCGGTTCTGGACCCAAGAACCCTTAAAGTATTGGGAACCGGAACCAAATTTTTACAAGTTCAAAGAACCTGAACCGAACCGGAACCCTCATTATAAAATGAAAAATATCGGATGTAACAAACATTATTAATTATGTTTTTATTCTTAAAATTTCAAAGCATAATTAAATTTCTGAGATATAATTTTTTTGAAAATTGTATTTTTAATATTATGCACCTGCCTAGTATAATGCCATAATACCGGTAACATAAATGTTATTTTTAAATATGTATCAAAAAATATTACAGAATAAATTTAAAAAATTTTATTTAGAGCCCTATAATACCGGAACCCGAAACCTTATTTTGTATTTTTCAATAACCGGAATCCCAACCCGAACCTTTTAATAAAATAATTGAAAAATTTAAAGGTACCAGTCCCTGATACCAGGGGCGTATTTGAGGGGGGGCGGAGGGGGCATTCGCTTCCCCATGGCTCGTATTTTTTTTTAATATAATACATTGATTTATTTAAAAATGTAATGTATGAATAATTAAGAATATAAATTACTAGTCTATTATTAAAATGTGATAATAAATTCAAAAATATATAAATTTGATCACAAGTATCAATTTTTGTTTATGTTCTTATATCATAACATTTTTGATTGTGGAACGAATAATGATATTATCTTCTACGGATATTGCTAAGGATAGAAACATTTACAACCATAACCGAGGTATTTATTAGTTAATATAAAGTAATTTAAAGTACCTACCTGACACTTTTTTTACCATATATTTACTAGTTAGTCATTTTTTGGTGCATTTATGCATATTATATAGTTTTGTATTTATTAGAGCTATATAAGTCCTTCATAATTTTACTCGCCTATTTTTTTTTTTTTACAACATAATATCTGGTATTTTTTGTTGTGCATTGGTATTAAGTTAGTATTTAGTCATTTTTTTGTGCACAAATGCATTTATATTTGTGTATATTATAGAGCTAGAAGTCCCTAAGCCAAATAATAATCATAATAACTGACAATATTTGTTTCCATATTCTTTAACTTGCAAATATTGATCAAAATATATTTTTGTAGATTGAAAACATGGTTAAGGTCAAGAATAGGCCAGCATAAACTAACAGGTTTGGCTTTTCTGCATGTATATAAAGATATTATTGTACCCATTGATGAAATAATCAATAAATTTGCCAAAATGAAAAAAAAGAAATTTGAAATTTGTTATTTGACTACTCACCAACTTTATGTTTTCTACTTAATTATTTTTTAAAGTTTTTAAAAAATAATTAATAGGTACTAATACTCGTACTACTATGATTATTTTTTGTTTTTTTTTACACAGGATTCAGACTGAAGGTACAATTTTAATATAGGAATTATTTGTGTTGTTACTATTAATAATTATTTTATATGCAGTAGGTTTTAAATATCTTTATTAAATAAATATTTAATTCAATTTGGTACTTATATTTTTATTTATTCACTCGAATTAGCTACAGGAAAATGAGCTGTAGGTAATGAACTGTTTTAAGTAAGTTGTTTTTAATTTTTAAGTTTGTATTGAAGAAAAATTAGTTTCGTCCCCCTACCCTGGCCTCAACTCAAAAATGCCCTTGCCTGATACAAGTATAATAACAAGTTATCAAAATTTAAGGTAGATTATGTAAACGATTTTTAAGACATTTGTCAATTACAATATAATATGTATAATTAATTTTGTTAAATTTTGAAATCTCTAAACTGTAATATTATATAAATTACCATTTTTTTTTTTTTTTTTTTTTTTTTGATATAATGCTCATATGAAAATAAAAATAGTTAGGTATATTTGTTTAGGATTTAAATATTTATTAATTAATACAACGGCAAATTATGATAGTATACAACCATGCTGATAAATAACCATAATATAATAATATAGTGTACAATATTAATCTAGGTTTAAATACAATGTTAAATGTAAATTGTTCTCAGCTTCTATTAACCGGAACATGCCTTCAAGCCCGTCATTAGGGCACAAGCAGTCAATTAGGCCATTGCCTAATGGTAGAAACATTTTCAACGATACTGGGACGGCATTTCTTATGATAGATAATTCGTTGTGTAGGTATAACTAATAAATTAAACAAAATCCAACGAACCATAGGTTATCAACCAATAATACATCCGGAATTGTTTTATATAGTTGTGTATTAAATACATATTAATAAATTATAATAATTTACATACATATACTGACAACCATGGTTTTTTGTTATTATTAAATTGTGAGCCGTCAAAATATTATGAAGATATTAAGGAGTCGTAGAATGAAATAATTTGAATACCTCCGACTTATATGATGGTTATGACCAGATCTCGTAAGTTCATGCATTTTCATATCAATCTTGCAAAGTTGTATTTAATGCTAGATGACATAGAAATCTATTTCAAGGTAGGTACCACGGTTAAATATGTGAAATCCTATTTTGCATGTTTTTGCATATTTGGCATATTTATGCATATTTATATTTTATTGAATATACTATAGGTACAATATTCTATTAAAATCTATCAAAAATCTAAATGGAAATATATATATAAAATTAAAAATAGAAATTGTATTATCTTTTCTTATCTTCTTGATACTCGTACATTTGATGAATAAATTCGTTTCAAAAGTTTCAGATTTAAAATTAATTACTGACAATGACGTGCATTATACCCAGTTCATGGAGGCTTGAGAATATTATTAAATAGTATTTAAAATCTATTTTTTTTTTAATTGTGACATAAAAAAATAAAATATAACTATAAAAAAATGAATGTTATTTCAAAAATTATTTATGATTTTTTTAAGTAGATAAGCATTTTTTAAGTACATAATTTTAGATATTTAGAGCATATAAATGCATATTTTTTTAACTTTTTAAAGAATATTTCAAAGCATATTTTGCCAATTTTAATTGCATAAATGCATGCTTATTTGGGCATTTTTAGGACATGAACTTACGAACCCTGGTTATGATATATTAATGGATAGAAATATTTTAATTACTTTAATTGTTATTTAGTTGGCTTACTGTAATTTTAGTTAAAATTTGTCTATAAATAAATGTTGATGTTTGGGATCTAGGACATTTCGGCCGGACCAATTCGACGCCGGACCATTTCGCCGCGACCGTTTCGCAGCCGTACCATTTCGGCCGCGGGACTATTCGCTGTCGAGCTGTTTGCTGCGAAGAGAACCTCCCCACGAAATATTATTATTACCAATTATGTACTTAAATTAAAAATTAATAAACAACAATACTAAGGTTATGATATTTTTTCAAACCTCACCACCCGATTTTTTACATGCGTTCATCCCTGATTGACACTCTTTGAGTTGTGAAACATTAATTTTGATATGTTCCTCAATTTAAATCAAGTATATTTTAACACCCCCACAGCCCCTCAATAGAATTTGCAGCTTTAATTTCTATTTTTTCATAAGCAGCTATGTGCTTGCATACTTCTCTGGGGCAGAAGATTTTTTCAGAGCACATAATATGAACTAAGTCCCGAAAACGGTTTTCGGAAAACCAACATTTTTTGTATATACGATCTACGTTTACGGCTTGATATAATGTGACAAGAATTATAAAATTATTAAATGATTTTTGTTTTTATTAAACACGTCATTATGAAATTATTTTTTTTAATTTTCAACATAAGAAAAAAAATAAAAATTTGAAAAACCTATAATTTTCTAGGTAATAAAAATGGATATCCTTAATGGAATTCTAAATTATCACTGTTAAACCATTGATTATAACATAATTAATGAGGTATTTATTAAATTGATTAATACATAGAAGTAAGACTCCTCGTAACACCAGCATACAACATAGGTTAAGTAGGTAAGTAAGGAAGTACCTATGGTTTATTTGGTGACGAGGTGATCTATTGACCGTGGTATTATATACATCATTATAAGATACTTATAATATATCACTGTATAATGATTTTTCACTGTTTCAACAATGAAATAAAAAAAACAACTAAAAACACACAGTAGTTAAAGTAAAAGTTAATGACAACTGGCACTACTGTTATTTTTTCGACCAAACAATTATAATGTATTCGTAGTTAATTTTTCCCACTACTCAATATATTATTATTTACTATACAAACCTTTATTGTAATTATTTTGTATTGTCAATTATACTATGTTACATAATTATTTAGGTTTATATTGGTTAATTACAGTGGTGTATTGGAGGGTATACGAGGATTTACGTCGTATACCCGGATCCCTATTTTTGGATTTGTTTTTGGCATCGTCAGTATCTAAATTGTGAATATAAAATATAAATATGATCTATTATACATTATAACACCTTATTAAACAAAAAATCGATAATAAAATTAAAATCTGTACTTACTTTGAAGGTTAATACCGTTTATAATATCCATTTTAACTTCTTGAAACTTTTAAATCACATAAATTATTTTATCTCCATCTTTTTCTCCAACGAGATTGATGAAAAATTACATTGCAGTATTTGCTGTACTGAGTTCATTTTAAAAATTGAAAACAAATACACGAATAACGTTAATGTCGGTCGTCAGAAACACGATTGTCACGATTAATGTTTTGAATTTCCGATAATGATCGACTAGCTAATATGATCAGCTGA